GTTTTATCCTTTCAAATCCCCCTGCAATTCCATTTATCGGGGGTTGTGTGTGTTGTTGTCTCCTGACTGTTTGCTGGACTCCGCCATTTTAAAACACTAGGGGGGAGTTTTAAACACCACCTGATTTCCTTGAGTTTAAAGCTTATTTGGCTTTTTCTGCTTCTGAATTTCTCGCACTGTTCACTGGTCAGTGAATATAGGTCAGCTACTAAAATATTTAACTGGACTATTTAACTATTCACTTCTTTCCCATGACTGGCACTGAGGGATAACCGTCCTATACTTGGGGTTTTGTCTGTTGATATGACGATTTGTCTCTGTGTTTCCCTCTCGTTAGCACGGTCAGGTGATATGATGGTGGTTACAGATATGATGCTACTGTCAACAGCTCTGAACGTCAGTAAAGATGAGAATTTCCCTTGGGCTAGGTGTACGTCTGGCGTCGCTGCGGTTGAATGCCGGTCGGTCAGCCATGTTTAAAGGCTCAAATCTTTCCTCGTTTTGGCACTGACGAAAACAAAAGTCCTACAGACCTGGCATTTCTTGGGATTTAGATGCTCAGGATTTCTGCCATGTTGTCCTTTTACGTTTTAGAAACACTGGTTTGCCGTTGGATATGGAGGTCAGTTATTTTTTTTTTTTTTTTTTTTTATTTTATTTAAAATCAATACATAAAAAAAACCTTAAACTGGGTTGTACACCTTGTATATAAACACATTTGAACAATACTCGAACGTCCAATAGCAAAATAAACACAATATTAAACAAAAAACACAAGAGGTTACACCTTATTATACTAGGAAAAAATCGCTTGTGACAAACACATAACATTAAGACTGATGGGCCATCTTAACCCTATGTACACAAGAACACAACAAGAACTAACATGTAGGTGGACCCCTGTAAGAGGGTTCAATAATATACATAAAACCATAATCCTTGGGTATACACTATTTTACATAATCTACTGGGACATTTGCCAATGCCAATACAATACAATAAGAAAGAATAGTATGATAAATATATAAAATCTCGGTTACTCACAACCAACACAAAATAATCGATAACCGAAAGAACTACTCACATCTCATGATAAACAAGTAATACTCTTATCACTAACTCAGTAAATAAGTTCCCTACAGTCCCACATATCGCCGTACCACAAGTCTTACGGAGTCAGCCACAAAACTAGAAAAGCCATAAACATTCCGCACTCATCTACAGGCTATACACATTATAATAACATAGCAATAAAATGCCTCAGTATAAACCATAAAAACCCCGTTTGCCAGGCCATAGCCGAAGGTACATCAAGAACTTCAACAAAGAAAGAAGGCAGTAGACTCTGACTTAAGGACATCTATATAACTCATAAAACTCACCACCACATACTTCACACAACCACATTTCCTCAACCACGCATTAACAGATACACACAGTTAAACCAGCCGTTGTGCATACCCAACCCCGGAGGGACAAAGCCCGTTCCATCCCTGAAATTCATCCCCCCCTTTCACAACGTTAACAATGCTCTCACTCCATTAATACGGTACCTGCTGAAAAGCCTGGGTCAGCGGACTTTCATATATTTCCGATTATAACACAACGTTCTATAAATGGTCCCCGCCAAACCTTTTGGCACCTCCCACTCCCATTCCTTCTCATTGCCTGGATACAAAACCAAAATCCGCAATTATATACGTTGATTGCACGTTGCACAGGTGCTCGACGCCCTCCCAGTCCTACTTAACGCCTCATTACTAATATTCCGCCTCTCCTCCCACTGTCCTCAGAACTTACCATCCATTCCCTGATACTTCCCAAATTATCACAAAAAATCCACTAATGAAACGCAGTCTCCTATCCCCCGCACAACCCGACCCGCGCCTCCACCATCAACCCCTTTCCTTAGTGCAGCACCGACGGCAGTATACCATGGAGAAACGGAGGAACAATACCTCTCGCCACATTTGGACGCACGGCATCAACCGTAATCTTTTTTTCCATATTTATATCTTTCCACGCCTACATAGGGTAGATACTCTCAGCTTCACGACTACCTAGCCCTTACAACACGCTCTAAAACACCACTCGACTTTATTAGGGTCCCGACATGCAGCAACGCCCGCAACACGTCTTCAAAACTTTCATCTCCCGACCCTCCCACCACAATTCGCACCTCTTCATGCAAGCATATCACGCCCTCCCTGATGACCCCGCACACGGCGGTACCCCCATTCAAATAAATGCACTTGACTCTTAACGTGTAAATCAATCAACCCCAATCCTCCTTGTTGACCGGTAAAGTAACCACACTCTACTCAACCATTCACACCCGGAACCCCAATGAAAATGGAAAACCACATTAAAACAGCTGTAAATCCGACTGACTAACGGATATACCGCAGCCACGTGGCCAGGACATTACTGTATAACAACACCTTCACAACAATCGCACCGCTGGATGTACTGTCAAATGAGTTGGTCTAAACCCCATCCAAATGCCCACCACACTCGATCCACAACAAAGTCCAGAAGTAACCATCCTCGCCTCTCTGCACTACGCATATACACTATTCCACACAACTTTATCCTGTCCACCCATATTCCAACGTACATTCTTCCATCTCTCTCTTCCCACCCAATCTCCTAAGACCAGTTATTTTGATTTTTCCACATTAACTCTATAACCGGTGGTAACCCCTCGGAAATGATCAATAACGTCTCAACGCAGTAAACTCCTTGCCGTTCGCACGAGTTTTGCGTGTCATCCACATACCCTATTATTACCTGCACTCCACTTCTACTTCCCCAATCAACCTCATACACGCATCCACCTTTCTATAGAAAGGGTCTGTTAAACAGGCAACAACAATTGAGACAGGGGACAACCCTGCCTAATACCCGACCCATGGATACACTTCCCCAATTCCCATTTACTTGTACACACACTCCACACCTGTATACTAATGTCTCTGACCCAAACGTCCACCTCCTCCCAAAACCTGCCTCCTTAATATATACCACAACACTCACGTTCTACACTACATATGCCGCTGCCAATCTAACGCTAAGACACCCCCCCTGCTCCCTCCCGACCCTTCCACAAATTCTTTATAATACTATGCCGTCATAACATCGTCCTCAGACACACAATATTTGTCTCTCGCAACCACTCTATCACCACACACTTCATCCTATTTCCTAAAAATTTTTGCAAAAAATCTTATAATCAGCACCCAGGAATGATATTATTTAAAGTCCCCACACCGTGTCCTGTTTCTTACCTTTTTGGCACTAAAACACCAACCGCAGTTCCTTGCAACCTGCCCATCCTCCCTCCCTTTTCATCGTTATTTCATTGTTCTACTAAGAAGGACTTCAACAATCCATGGCTTCACATAAAAAAACTCGCAGGGCAAGCCATCCAGACCTGGAGCCATACCAGTGCCATCCCTCACAAGCCCTCCACACCTCCCTCTCTATCTTCTTCCAATCATCCCCCAACGCCATGCGATCACTGCTACTTAGCAACAAGATACATATCTCCCAACCTCCCGAAAGCCTCCCATCACCCCTACATCATAAATTTTTTTCAAAACCACCTATCAACATAATCACTCATTGCCGTTGTTCTTAACTCCATGTCCGCCTATATCCACCTACGTCCTCATGTACCCACCAGCTATCAATTTTCCATAGCCTTACGTCGCTGCTCTGTCCCTTAACACACGGCCGATGGGGGTGGTCACACCACACCGCCTCTTCACTTCCACCTGCACTACACCGCATCAAATCTATCATTCCTGCAAATCACGAATCCTTCCTGTTAACAAACTCATCCTCATGGGATACTGCCTGCCTGCACGCCCCTCTCATACAACTTTGCAACTACCCTCGAAATATGCTGCAACCCGTAGTCATCCAACCTGGTACTTTCCCCATCGCACCATAAAACGCCGGATCCTTCTTACGCTACCCATCCCAACCACCCAGCAAGGTCACCTACATCCCTACCCTCTCCCACAATTCTCCACATTGTCCTCATAAATTACCTCCTCAACCCGCTCCTCCACCCCAAGAAGTCTCCATTTAACTTCCAATACCTGGATACCTCTTAGGTAAGCTGGCCAAGTCAAGTCCACGTATAAACAGTTCTATGATCGTACAGTAACCAGCTCCACCGTACGCAACACACATCACTCGCACACTTCTGCGTCACAAATAACCTATCGAGCCTGGGCGGTTATCCCAGTCTATGAACGTATGCTCAACATTAGATCACCTTCAATAACTCCTTAACCCACACGCCCAGCAAAGATCCCTTAGCTAACCAAAAAAACACCTGCCCCCGGGCTCCACATCTTTACGTACTATTTACAATTCAATCACGCCACGATTGTTTACGAGGAAGAGATCCAAATAATAAACAAAACAATCACGCACAAATTTTTCTCACCCTTACATCACGCTCCGCGGCGATACACACAAACATGCCAGTGTCACCCTTCCACCATCCATCTACCCGGAGTACTACCCTCCTCCCTCCCTCAAATCTATTACAACAACGTGGCTTGTCTCCGAATCAGAATTTCCAAACCCACCTTTCAAACGGTCCGAATAAGCCACAAACACACGATCCGATATCCGTCACATTTTCAATCCGACCCGCTTAAAGTTATGCTCCTGCATGAATACATATTAATGGCTTGACGCTCAGAAACCCTGGAGCCCACAAACGCTTCACATTCATTACACAACCATTTACAGTCACAGTCATACACTTGAAACCTTCTTGAAGGGTTTTTACCGCTGCCTGGAACTCCTTTCATAGACACGTCACCAGACTTCCTATTTTCCCACCTGGTCACCACGTGGCTCTATTCCTCCCGGTTCGAACACTGGACGGAACACTGTGCGCCTCCATCACCACATCAGCCACGGTTTCTTCCCGGTCTTTGCGCCGGGGTCAAGGACCTACGGAATCAGAGTGCGTTTGCCGCCCTCTCCCGCCGACGGAACCACTCTCTGCTCCTGGTCTCTGGTCGGGGGGATGCCGCACAATGCACCTCCGCCGCCACCTCGACACGGTTCACCATTCCGTAGACGAGGCACTGCAGTCAGCTGGCTGGTCTCTCTTCGTCCTCCACTATCCTCAGGTCCCACCACGATTGTACATCATCTCCAGCTCTCTTCGTTCCAAAAAACTTTATCCGTCAATTGCTCCAGAGCAACATCCTCTGCTCGTTCTCCTCACTCACTTGGTTCCCCTTCCAGCCAAAGCGGGAGACTGTAGATTCTACAGGCATTGATGGGCTCGACCCACCGTTCGGGAATCTCTCTCACCTCCTCGACTCCAAGACGAATATGGCCCTTTACAGCGTCCGTGGCAGGCCCCGGTTCGGGTCAGGCCCCTCGCTCGTCTTGTCTGCAACCTGTCGTTGCTGATGCCTTCTCACACTGTGTGCCATTATGGTCATAAGCAAACATGCCTGAGGTCTGTTTGTTTTTTTTACGCTTTGCCCTGCGTAATACACCATCACTTGCGTCCTTAAGTGTTCCAAGATGACAAAAAACGACGGGATGGGATCCTCAGCGTCATTCTTTAGGTTGAACGTACCCTCCGGCCAAAGCGGCGGTCGCCATCCACCCAGGTACTGCGGTTGCAGAGGCACAGTACATAACGTTCAAAAACGTTCCGTATATCTGCCTCGTCGCTTCGAAAGGCACGTTGCGTACTTCACCCCGTGTAGTGTCGCGACACGTCAATTAAACGAACTGTATTGCGAGTTTACGTTTCCACCCAGGCATCTTTGATATGCTCACAGGGATCATACACTGCGTCGATCGTCGCTTAAGCTATTCGGTGTAAGCCCGTTAGAGCGATATCCAATACAAATCTTGATCAGCAATTGCGTATGTGTCGCGAATAATCAAAGGTTAGAAGCACCTGTGCGGTGCGGGTAATTACACCCCGCACTAAATCAAAGAACAGTGTTACGCGCCTTCTGCTAGTTCTGCGCCATCTTGTGAAAAATCAATGCGCAGGAAGGCCTTCTCAACAGGAGGAGCGTTGTGAGCAGCACAACCTCACGGCAATAAAGCGAATGGAGGTCAATCCATATTTCATTAGTGGAAAAGCTCGTGTCTGTTCACGTTGGCAGCAGGTCTGGGTCTTGAATGCGGTCCCTCTTCTGTATATTGTAGTCCATTTGTAGAACGTCACCGTCAGTTTTTTATGTAAAACTATAGTTAACTTGCATGTTGTTAGCAGCAGTACATGCACTTTGGCCATCACTGGAGTTCGGATAGGCCAGGGGGGACGGCAAGATTATAGGAGAGCAGCCTTGTTGCTGCTGCGGCGGCTGTCAGTGAAGTTGTCTTTTTTTCTTCCAAGTTTTTCATTCTTATTTTCCTTTTTAACTCGAAAAGGGCTCATGCAATTAAATATCTACGTTTTTGTACAGTCGCTAGAGCTCCATTCTGAAACGTTGGTTGTGCAGGTGCCCCATGACCAAATTAATGACAGAAATGCATAACCAGGGGCATTCCCTAAAATGTCTATAATATCACCTTTTGGTTTGATATGGTGAACCATCTTTATAGAAATAAAGTTTCTAATTTATTATTCAATCTTGTAATGGCTTAGAACTTCGAAAATGTCGGATTGTGCTGTATTCATAAAAGGTGCCTGCCTCTAATTTGACCCCATCAGAAGAGAAATTCAAGTACATAGCAGCAGATTACCCATTTCTGTGTTAAAAACTTAAATTCTTATTCCTGTAGTAAGTTAAAATTTCAATTTTACTTAGTTAGGTATAGGTTTGTCAGGAAACAGGACAAGTGTTTCCTGATGCGGATCTAAGTCTATGATGAACAAGCGGCTGGAGCTTTTGTGTATCTGACGAGGCCTTTGCTGGCTTACAGTCCACCCCAAATTTTTCAGGGGCTGCAGAAAACAATATGAAGTTCAACGATAAAAATTTCAATTATCAGATAGGTAAACATGAGGAAATTAAATCTTCATCAGAGTACAAAACAAATTCTGGCCACAAAATAGAGCGAAACACCAACGTCAAAGACCTGGAGTGATCATGTCGGAGGATCTCACCTTCAAGGACCATAACACTGTATCAATCGCATCTGCTAGAAAAATGACAGGATGGATAATGAGAACCTTCAAAACTAGGGAGGCCAAGCCCATGATGACACTCTTCAGGTCACTTGTTCTATCTAGGCTGGAATATTGCTGCACACTAACAGCACCTTTCAAGGCAGGTGAAATTGCCGACCTAGAAAATGTACAGAGAACTTTCACGGCGCGCATAACGGAGATAAAACACCTCAATTATTGGGAGCGCTTGAGGTTCCTAAACCTGTATTCCCTGGAACGCAGGAGGGAGAGATACATGATTATATACACCTGGAAAATCCTAGAGGGACTAGTACCGAACTTGCACACGAAAATCACCCACTACGAAAGCAAAAGACTTGGCAGACGATGCACCATCCCCCCAATGAAAAGCAGGGGTGTCACTAGCACGTTAAGAGACCATACAATAAGTGTCAGGGGCCCGAGACTGTTCAACTGCCTCCCAGCACACATAAGGGGGATTACCAACAGACCCCTGGCAGTCTTCAAGCTGGCACTGGACAAGCACCTAAAGTCAGTTCCGGATCAGCCGGGCTGTGGCTCGTATGTTGGTTTGCGTGCAGCCAGCAGCAACAGCCTGGTTGATCAGGCTCTGATCCACCAGGAGGCCTGGTCTCAGACCGGGCCGCGGGGGCGTTGACCCCCGGAACTCTCTCCAGGTAAACTCCAGGTATATTATATATATATATATATATATATATATATATATATATATATATATATATATATATATATATATATATTATATATATATATATATATATTATATATATATATATATATATATATATATATATATATATAATATATATATATATATATGTGTGTGTGTGTGTGTGTGTGTGTGTGTTGTGTGTGTGTGTGTGTGTGTGTGTGTACATATATACAATATGTATACATATTTGTATGTATGTATACATACAAATATTTATACATATTTGTAGGCATATATTTAAAGGAATATATATGTAGGCATACATTTGTAAGCATACATGTATGCTTACAAATGCAGTGGAGAGATACATAATATACTCTTTGAAAATCTTAGAGGGACTAGTCCCAAATTTGCACATGAAAAATCGCTCCCTGCGAAAGCAAAAGACTAGGCAGGAGATGCAAAATCCCCCCAATGAAAAGCAGGGGCGCCACGAGCACACTGAGAGAAAACACAAAAGGTGTCAGGGGCCCAAGACTGTTTAACTGCCTCCCAGCATACGGAGGGAGGATTGATTACCAATAGACCCCTGGCTGTTTTCCAGTAGGCGTTGGACAGGGACCTAAAATCAGTGCCTGGTTAGTACGTTGGTTTGCATGCGGCCAGCAATAACAGCCTGGTTGATCAGGCCCTGATCCACCGGGCGGCCTGGTCACAGACCAAGCCGCGGGGGCGTTGACCCCTGAAACCCTCTCCAGGTATACATTTGTAAGCATATATATGTAGGCATACATTTGTAGGCATACATAGGTATGGATACGTTTGTAGGCATACATATGTAGGGATACATTTGTAGGCATACATATGTGGGCATACATTTGTAGGCATACATGTAGGCATACGTTTGTTGGCGACCCCCGAAACCCCTTCTAGGTATACATATGTAGGCATACATTTGTAGGCATATATATATGTTGGCATATATAGTACATTAAGTAGATTGAAGCTAGGAAACCAGTCAAGTAATGTTATTTAATGACGTCCCTAGATTAGGTTAGGCTAAGCTAGGTTTGACTAGGTTAGGCTAAGATAGGCTTGACTAGATTAGGCTAAGCTAGGTTTGACTAGGTTAGGCTAAGATAGGTTTGACTAGGTTAGGCTAAGCTAGGTTTGACTAGGTTAGGCTAAGATAGGTTTGACTAGGTTAGGCTAAGATAGGTTTGACTAGGTTAGGCTAAGATAGGTTTGACTAGGTTAGGCTAAGATAGGTTTGACTAGGTTAGGCTAAGCTAGGTTTGACTAGGTTAGGCTAAGCTAGGTTTGACTAGGTTAGGCTAAGATAGGTTTGACTAGGTTAGGCTAAGATAGGTTTGACTAGGTTAGGCTAAGATAGGTTTGACTAGGTTAGGCTAAGCTAGGTTTGACTAGGTTAGGCTAATCTAGGCTTGACTAGGTTAGGCTAAGATAGGTTTGACTAGGTTAGGCTAAGATAGGCTTGACTAGGTTAGGCTAAGATAGGTTTGACTAGGTTAAGCTAAGATAGGTTTGACTAGGTTAGGCTAAGATAGGTTTGACTAGGTTAGGTTAAGCTAGGTTTGGCTAGGTTAGGCTAAGCTAGGTTTGACTAGGTTAGGCTAAGCTAGGTTTGACTAGGTTAGGCTAAGATAGGTTTGACTAGGTTAGGCTAAGCTAGGTTTGACTAGGTTAGGCTAAGCTAGGTTTGACTAGGTTAGGCTAAGCTAGGTTTGACTAGGTTAGGCTAAGATAGGTTTGACTAGGTTAGGCTAAGCTAGGTTTGACTAGGTATAGGCTAAGCTAGGTTTGACTAGGTTAGGCTAAGCTAGGTTTGACTAGGTTAGGCTAAGATAGGTTTGACTAGGTTAGGATAAGTTAGGTTTGACTAGGTTAGGCTAAGCTAGGTTTGACTAGGCTAGGCTAAGCTAGGTTTGACTAGGCTAGGCTAAGCTAGGTTTGACTAGGTTAGGCTAAGCTAGGTTTGACTAGGTTAGGCTAAGCTAGGTTTGACTAGGTTAGGCTAAACTAGGTTTGACTAGGTTAGGCTAAGATAGGTTTGACTAGGTTAGGATAAGTTAGGTTTGACTAGGTTAGGCTAAGCTAGGTTTGACTAGGCTAGGCTAAGCTAGGTTTGACTAGGCTAGGCTAAGCTAGGTTTGACTAGGTTAGGCTAAGCTAGGTTAGGTTATGTTAGCTTTAGCTCAGTTAGGTTAGACCACAGGGGGGGGGGAATAAATGATATTTCACTTTTATTTATTTATTTATTAATTTGAACATGAAACACTGAAGTACAAAAAAATACAGTGGTTAATTAAGTGTAACATGTCAAAGCCCCTTGTATATAGAACATTATGGACAGGCTTAAAATTAACTTACCATTATTTGTTCTATGGCGTATAAATGGCCTAAGCTTTTATTGAGGCCTTATAAATAATTTGAAACCTTTACAGTAGTTTTATTTAGTAAATAATAATAATAATAATAATAATAATAATAATAATAATAATAATAATAATAATAATAATAATAATAATAATAATAATAATAATAATAATAATAATAATATGAAGATATTAACCTAGGATAACCAAGTCAAACAATGTGACTTACTACTGTTGGGCTCCTTATTATTTCAATGGTATTGTAAATAAGACTTTACAGTGATACAGATATGTTATGTGTATATTCTATTACAGTGCACAAATAACTTAATACACCACTAATGTAATAGTTATGCACTTTAGTGAAAATAAATTATTATTATTATTATTATTATTATTATTATTATTATTATTATTATTATTATTGTTACTATTATTATTTTTATTATTATTATGGTTGTTTGGAAATGGTAATAATAATAATAATAATTAATAATATTAGCCACTATTAATACGTGTATTAGTTGGAGATCTCAGCTATACAACAGTTATCTTCATTCTTTTATAAAAAAATATTATTAGTGTATGAAAAAATAACATAAAATGCCCTAGACACAATGTTTTTTCGCCAAAAACTTCAATAAATATAACCCAATTTAGAAGGAAACAGCAATGGTGCCATTAGCTAACTTTTGAGAGGATATTTGCCGCAGGTCCACGATAATGAGTGTATTTTGAGAGTGATTTTTTTAGAGGAACTCTAGATTCCTAGTATAAGAACTATTGAAAGTAATGGAATAGTGTTGAGTGTTAGTGTTGATGGTGGCGAGTGTGATGGTGGTGTGTCGGCCATCCTTCTCTCTCATATATACCACCCACCTGCTGCACCATTCATGGACTCTCATGCACTAGATCAGCCAACTTTTGGCAAGGTATGTTGGGCTGGTATATATGTATATGCTCAGGGACTGCTTGTAATATACGCCTGATCACTGACCTATACACCACATCCGTCTTAGACACCTCGCTTTGCACATCAAAAAGTTTATCATAAAATTGACTTATACTGAGTTATTGTGACTTAAATCAGTATAATTTAACCCTACTATATTTCTGTGCTAATCATGCGATTTATGAAAGTATTGTAGGAATTTAAAATAGCAGTCTGTTGGAAAGTTTTGTATATTTAACTCAAATAAAGGTATTTTGTTTTAATGGACTGGCTAATGCTTACCACTGCCAGTTTTTAGTTTATTGAGATGTTTGAGTATTTTACATTACTATTGGACCATAGTCGACATTTCTTTGTATTATATGAGGTATAAATGTTATTTTTTTTTTCTCAGGATGTACTACACAGTCCTTGTGCAGATTTTGTAACAAAACAACTGTAGTAGATTATTATGGTTATTATGTGATCATATGAGTCCAGTATTAGAAGCTGCTAACTTTACACAAAAGGAAGATTCTTGATTATTTACCAAGATTCATGATTTTCTACCACAGACATTGACATTTTTTTTTCAAATTTGGTTTCTCTTTTCAATTTTTATGAAGTATCTCATAGATTATTATGCTGTAATTTTGTTTTTAGATTATTGAGGTTAATTGCCTTATAAATTTCTTTTCCATTAAAGTTTGTCCTAACTGGTTTGTTTTAGCTCAGTATAATTATCCATTTGTTAATATGTTTGTCTGTACAACAATAAAACTGCATTTTGTCTTCATTATTTATTACACCTTTAGTTATTTTTAAACTTCCATTGGTTCTAGTACAGTGGAACCTCAAAAATCGAACTTAATCCATTCCAGGAGCTAGTTCTAAATTCGAAAAGTCTGAAATTCGAAGCAATATTTCCCATAAGAAATAATGGAAATACATACAATTAATCTGTTCCAGAAACCCAAAAATATTCACACAAAAAATACATTTTATAGAGATTAATTACAGTTTTACATACAACAAATACTAGTTTTTAATTATGTATAGTAATACATATAAAATAACATTTTTACTTATCTTTATTGAAGATTGGTGATGGCATCTGGAAGATAGGGAGAAGGAGAGAGGGAGTTGGGGTTAGTGTTTGGAAGGAGAATCCCCCTCCATGAGGACTTCAGGTAAAGCCCTCTCTGGGGTTACTTCCCTTCTCTGTCTTTTAATGCCACTAGGACCAGCTTGAGAGTCACTGGACCCCTGTCTCACAAAATAACTGTCCACAGTCCTCTGTTTCTGGCACCTTTTTAACATTTCCCTAAAATGGGACATGGTTCTGTCACTGAACTTGTTGCAAAGATGGCTTGTTTCAACTTGCTCAGGGTGGTACTTCTGCACAAACATTTGGACATCATTCCACTTGGCACAAATCTCCTTAATCTTTGAAGAAGGCACCTCATCCACTCCCTATATTAACACCTTTCGCAACATCAGCTTCCTTGATTTGTTCTTTCTTTGGCAGGATAGAACCGATGGTCGACTTGTTTTTCCCATACATCCTGGCAAGCTCAACAAGTCTCACACCACTCTCGTACTTCTGTATTATTTCCTTCTTCACATCTATGGTATTTCTCACTTTCTTTACCACACGGGTACCACTAGCAAGTTTCTTTGGGCCCATGGCAGCTTATTTCACAGTCCCACAAGCACTAAACACAACGAAATAATCGTAAAATGCGTGAATGAGAGCGCAGGTTAGTGTTCACTCAAGCATAAACAAAGCTAGACTGCTCACGGCGCCTGCGCGGGGACGCGGACAGAGCGGGCCGGCAGACAGGTCCCGTCCCCGGTGGTCCGAAAATAGGGACGCATTCGATAATAGGGACACAGTTTGTCCGAAAAAATGGCCCTATTTTCGAAACGTTCGATATGATACGTTCGATTTTTGAGGTTCCACTGTATTAGTACACCTTGTAACCTATTTCTACTCAAATATGGGCCTCTCCTGTAAAATTAGAGGTGCATTTTCTTAACTAGTTCATTTATTGAAATAAACATTATTTCTATAAAGTGGAGTATAGTGCATTATACAGTTAAGATAATTGGCATATATAACTACTTTATAGAAATACCCTTGTTATGCAGAGTGTTTCGGGCAGCCTTGAAACTAAATTACGATTACTAGTATACAGTGGAACCTTGGTTTTTGTCTTGAATTCGCTCCAGAGAGTCTTGACAAAAACTGGACTCAACGAAAACTGAAGAAATATTTCCCATAAGAAATAATGTAAATCCAATTAATCCTTCAGACACTCAAAAATATTAACAAAAAATACATTTTATAGAGAATAACTATAGTTTTACATACAGAAAACAATGAGAAATAAATATAAATCACTAATGAAGTGGATAAATGAACATTTAAATCACTTTCACCTTTATTGAAGACTTGTTGGCGTATGGAAGACGGCAGGCAAGGAGGGGAGAGGGAGGAGAGGTTATCTCTACCACCATCACAATCACTACCACCCTCTACCACCATTTATTTATTTTATTTATTTATTTATTTAATGTCTTTGCAAACAGTACATTGAGATTGTGTATATGCATTAGTGGGATGCAATGCAAAGAGAGCCTTTATTATGCCTTGGCATTATGGGCCAACTTAACATTACAGTATTAGTTTACATTACTACCACCCTCTACCACCATCACAACCACTACCACCCTCTACCACCATCACAACCACCATCACAACCACTACCACCCTCTACCACCATCACAATCACTACCACCCTCTACCACCATCACAGCCACTACCACCATCACTACCACCCTCTACCACCATTGAATTCTATCGTCTTTCTGGCCTTCTTTATCAAAGGGCTGGCACTCGGAACTTTCTTTGGCCCAACGGTGGCTTATTTAGCAGTCGCACTCAATAAACAAGCACAAAAAACAATGGATTATTACGAAATGTTTCGTGTGAATGTGCAGGGTAATATTCACTCGACGAGAAACAAAGCCAGACTGACTCAGAATGCGTGCATGGGATGCTTTGTGTGGGCGCAGGCAGACAGACACGTTTGGTACAGCGGACGAAAACCGAGGTGATGAAAGAAAGCAGGACAATATTTTGACGAAAAAAGTTGTCGAAAACCAAATTCGACGAAAACCAGGGCAAACAAAAACCAAGGTTTCACTGTATATGAGAATACTTAGTTTTTAAAACATTGGAAGTATTTAGTAATTCAGTACAAAAATATAATTTGTGATATATTAAGGATTAAGTTACGAACATGAGATGAATGAATAATAGACAAGGACAGGGACAATGCAGGTTGAAAGTAATGTTCAGCATCCAGTACATAAAGGTGGTGACCCTACAGATGTAAACAACTATAGGCCGATATCAAACTTACCATTGCTATCCAAAATCTTCTAGAAACTCATGTGCAGGAGACTATGTTCATTTATAACATCACAAAACATACTCAACCCTGGAGTTTACCTGGAGAGAGTTCCGGGGGTCAACGCCCCTGCGGCCCGGTCTGTGACCAGGCCTCCTGGTGGATCAGAGCCTGATCAACCAGGCTGTTGCTGCTGGCTGCATGCAAACCAACGTACGAGCCACAGCCCGGCTGGTCAGGAACCGACTTTAGGTGCTTGTCCAGTGCCAGCTTGAAAACTGCCAGGGGTCTGTTGGTAATCCCCCTTATGTATGCTGGGAGGCAGTTGAACAGTCTCGGGCCCCTGACACTTATTGTATGGTCTCTTAACGTGCTAGTGACACCCCTGCTTTTCATTGGGGGGATGTTGCATCGTCTGCCAAGTCTTTTGCTTTCGTAGTGAGTGATTTTCGTGTGCAAGTTCGGTACTAGTCCCTCTAGGATTTTCCAGGTGTATATAATCATGTATCTCTCCCGCCTGCGTTCCAGGGAATACAGGTTCAGGAACCTCAAGCGCTCCCAGTAATTGAGGTGTTTTATCTCCGTTATGCGCGCCGTGAAGGTTCTCTGTACATTTTCTAGGTCAGCAATTTCACCTGCCTTGAAAGGTGCTGTTAGTGTGCAGCAATATTCCAGCCTAGATAAAACAAGTGACCTGAAGAGTGTCATCATGGGCTTGGCCTCCCTAGTTTTGAAGGTTCTCATTACCCATCCTGTCATTTTTCTAGCAGATGCGATTGATACAATGTTATGGTCCTTGAAGGTGAGATCCTCCGACATGATCACTCCCAAGTCTTTGACGTTGGTGCTTTGCTCTATTTTGTGGCCAGAATTTGTTTTGTACTCTGATGAAGATTTAATTTTCTCGTGTTTACCATATCTGAGTAATTGAAATTTCTCATCGTTGAACTTCATATTGTTTTCTGCAGCCCACTGAAAGATTCGGTTGATGTCCGCCTAGAGCCTTGCAGTGTCTGCAATGGAAGACACTGTCATGCAGATTCGGGTGTCATCTGCAAAGGAAGACATGGTGCTGTGGCTGACATCCTTGTCTATGTCGGATATGAGGATGAGGAACAAGATGGGAGCGAGTACTGTGCCTTGTGGAACAGAGCTTTTCACCGTAGCTGCCTCGGACTTTACTCTGTTGACGACTACTCTCTGTGTTCTGTTAGTGAGGAAATTATAGATCCATCGACCGACTTTTCCTGTTATTCCTTTAGCACGCATTTTGTGCGCTATTACGCCATGGTCACACTTGTTGAAGGCTTTTGCAAAGTCTGTATATATTACATCTGCATTCTTTTTATCTTCTAGTGCATTTAGGACCTTGTTTGGCTTCAGAAAAAATAAAAGCACTAATGATGCAATTGTAAAAATGCTAGATCTGCTTTACACAGAATTGGAAAATAAGGAATATCCGCTAGGACTTTTTATTGACCTAAGAAAAGCTTTTGACACAGTAGACCACGGCATCCTACTCCATAAACTTGACCATTATGGTATAAATATCTACTTGGATGACAGCCAATAAACTTACACTTAA